CTCCATAGATTAGTTGGTTGGGGCATGTTTTACGCATGTCACCAAATAAGTTGCCACGACGAGTGATGTTTGCCGAGGCAGGTAGCGGTTGGAAAAAAGTCAAGTTGTTCAAACTAATACCTGGTATGAGGGCATTAAAACCCTGACCAGGAGACTAGGTCACATAGGTCCCGTTAGGCTCCCTGACTGGGGGCCCCGAGATGGTGGTCACCGATGGTTAGAGACACGGAGCGATATGACTGGGTGCCGCAAACAGTGGCGCTCTTGTACCTACTCATTATTCTTGTAACTTCAATCTATCAGAAATGCCTTATCTTCCGCTTGAATCTGCTTTCAACATTCTAATCATCATTCTGCTGTTTTATCCAAATGGGCAACCAAAACCGGCGCACGAAAGTGCATGGTTAGTGGTTATGAGAACTGAACTGAACTTACCTCAGGCTTTCGGCTTTTTTAAAGCAACAAACGTGTTTAAAATCTGAGCACTCCTGATGCTGTTTATAGTATACCACATGATTCATGGTTTTCTCCCTTCATAACATTCTCATTTAATTATTTTGTCATGAATTCGTCGTACAAATGAGACGTGAGCTAAAAAGCTTGTAAGCACTGGACATCTGTTTTGACCTGTTTGGGTCTCATTATCAGTGCGAATCCATCGACTCAACCGGGTCGAAACAGCTGTCGAGTGCTTCCCAGCTCTTCAGCTCACTCCTCATTTACACGACGAATTCATCACAACCAAAGAACAAATTATATCCTCCACTCCCATTCACATTTATACTGTAAAAACACCCCACTGTTTTATTTTTTTTTGCACACTTCCGTTTGAAGAAACCAGGATCTGCGTACTGTTTGGTGATGAAAACTGTGTTTCTTAACCGATAGGCATAGAGTGACAAGTCGCTCAGGGTTTTATCAAGATATTTTCACTTCCCCAATGCATAACGCTCCCCTTCCGTATGATGATTATTTGATAACTATTAATCCGATATTCCTCCCAGCCGTATAGTCAGTTCCCGTGTTTCCCAATGAAGGGAACAACATAGGTTCACCTTAATACATCTAACAGCAATCTGACTTGGTAAACGGTACAACCCCTGTGAGGTATAATTTAACACAGATGGAACATTGACCGAGCATCAGCGTTCTCTTTCGGTATTCTGCTGAGATATTCGTATTGTAAAGACCATCTTACTTCACCATTCATTTCCTCGGTCGCAATAAATATCGCAGGTCTATCTCCGTTTCCTTCATACACTTTCTGTCCATTTCCTATTTCGCTCATAAGATACTCAATGATCCCAGTGTTCCACTCAATCCCGATTCATCTGCTTGCCGTTCCCACGCTTCAACCCGATGCAATTTTCGCTGCTTGCCCTCCCGCATCAACGTTTATCGCAACTCAACGGTTCCCTATCTAGCTCGTATTCTCATTGTAACGGTGAAGATCTGTAGCGAACTAATTTTAAACTTGCAAAGATGATCACCTATTTAAGTTTTATCATTGCTGTATATTAATTTTCATTTGATTTTATATCCTATTGTAACGGTGAACATATTTTTGACCGAAATGTAGGCACAGTCGCCTGCACAAATCATTTATAATATAATACATTAATACTTCCATTTCCTTGCCTATGAATTCAGCTCAAACCGTGCTTCCCGAGCCGACTGTGGTTAACCCTATCCCGGCACAGTCGATCAGCACGTGGGAACAAGCGGATCAGGAAGACGATTCCTCGCTCATTCCTTTACCACAGTCCGATCCCACGGACATAGTGGCTCATGAAACCGCGTATACATTTGAACCTGTGGCACCTCCCGCTCCTCCACCAGCCGTGGAAGAATCCTTGCCCGGGTAAGTTCACTATGCCTTTTGGGAACAAATACTGTACACTCTTATCCAAATGGGCAACCGAAAGACAGCAAGTAAAACCGGCACATGAAAGTGCACTAATGATTGTAAAAGCTGAGACTGAAACTCTTTCCTGAAAATATGTGACTAAAATCACACAGTCTCTAATCATTTATGGAAACTTGTCTGAATGCGCCATCATTGCTGGTGCATTTTTCAGTGGGTTATACAGAACATGATATCGAGGCCGGTATTTCAATGGCAATTGACCGGAAAAAAATTTCACCCATATTCAACTAGCTTTGGGTAACCGTTAGTCGCTTCGCCATCCTTTTCAATATATGCCAGCTTGGGCGCGGGGGATTTTACGATCAAAAGCCGCTTCTAGACCGGAATATAGTGTAATCACCGAGATCATCTTTCTGTGGGAATAACCAAAAGCCGACGCTTTTATTAAAAAAGGAAGCGTGTCATTTTTATACTAGAACCTCTGGAGGGGATCGCTTCGAAACTGCTTCTCTCACTAATCAACACCTGTGTAAACGAACCACGCCAAATTCTACCTACGCCTGGTGAACAACTACTAAAAACGCCACCGGAAACGAATGCCCACAATGTTTTGTCAGTGATATTTGCAAATCGGCCTTCCTAGCGGAAGTCCGCGACCGCCTACCAGTCCAGCCACCAGCCGAAGGACTCAGTGAACACTGGAAGTAAATCAAGGAAGCTATGCAAATAACGAAAAAACAATAGTGGACCCTGGCTCAGGCTCAAAACACAAACGATGGATCTCGTCCACCTCGGCTGTCCTGCTTGACGCCCGCAGAATCCTTCCTCTTGATGCGAAATACGACAAAGAGCGCAATTCCCTTAAACGCCAGCTCATCGATAGTTTGAGGAATGACCGCGAGAAGTTGTGGACAGGAAGGTGTAGAAAGATGGAAAAAGATGTGGCTATTGTTAATAGTGAAACTGTTACCAATAGCCGCACTCTTTTTCGTTTCATTAGGAATATGGACCCCAGAAAATTGAAAAATAAGTGAGGTAATTAAGGAATCCGATGACACACTGATTCATCATCAGCAACGCCATCTTGATCGGCAGGCTGAACAGTTCGAAGCTCAGTTCAACTGGTCCCTATCGACTTCTGACTTCTCACACCCCACCTCAACAGTTGATGCCAGTCCTCAATATGAAATGGAGGTCACGCGGGAAGCAAATTACCTCAAAAGGCATAAGGCCTCCCACCCAGATGGACTGTCCCCATCGCTTTTTAAGTAAGGAGGTTCAGCCTTAGTTTCGCAGTCCTAGATTCACCGTGCTTCAACCAGCGGGGATGGTGTTTGCGTATTCTCTCTGGTAGCTCCCTCGTAGTTCGGCCGATGTCTTAGTCGCTGTCACCCGCGTGCTTTGGACCCTATGGTCCGAGCCCCGCCATCCGACTTTGGTGGTTNTGGCAGCTCTGCTGTCGTCCGGTTCAATACCACGCCTAACCTATCGGGGCCTTATGTGGTTTGCCACTCCAAGGTCCGGGGCTTAGGTTGCCGATTTCAACCACTGAACAGCAGGTCTTCGTGACTATGGGGGTTTTACCCCGTCTGTTGTTCATCTTACCTAGGTGTGTAATCAAAAAAAGATGTAGCTCGCTCCACAGGATCAAATGAAAGCGTGAAGGCACATGGATACGGTTTAAGGGAGTAGTTTTTGCTGAGGTTGTGATGAAATTCATGCGCAGCTCAGCGGTTGTAAATAGTTGACGCAACTCTTGATTGGTTCGTCGTGGAAGCCACTCAGCCGTTTTATCACATTTGGACACTAGTTGAAAATAGAGTGATTTTCTGTTAGCCGTATGGGCTACCGGTCGTTCGGGTCTCTGTTAAATGTTTATATAGATATATATATATATTTATATATATCACACTTGTCTGAGGACAGACTGTTTCCAAACAAATCATGGTACAATAATCGTTTTGCACAATTAACTAACGTACCGTTCGGAATATCCAGATCTTCACTGGATACCAATGTTAGATCCGTTGTACAGGTTGTACAGGTTCTCGAACTGCACGTCTACTTCCCATTTTTCTGTTCTCCGTCTTGGGCATGCAAAATTGCGGTCCGATGGTTGAAGCGCGATGAAACTAGGACATACTGGAGGCACGGCATACTGTTAATGTTGATCATGCTTTCCGCATCATTTTTCGCTCGCAGTCATCTCTGCCAAAATCAGTTCGGTTCATCATTCTATGCACAGCCGAGGCAATAGCTATCCAAACATTGAATCCCCTTCGCACTGTGGAACCAAAAGCAATTCGTTCGGGCTTTCGCTTTGCCATGGCCTCGAATGAAGAATCCTTACCCCCTTCCGCGGACGCGCTAATGACCTAGCCGAAATGAGGATCAGGTATACCAATTTTCTGTACGTAGTCTGATGCCATCAAAACCGGATGGAAGAACCCAAATAACCCTATATAAAATTGTTATGGTCACTGATGAATTTATCAAAAAGCAGCTTCATCTAATTTCACCTACTGGACTTTGTTTTTAAATGGAAAAGTTGTTAAAAGAACAATGCTTCACTCACATTGAATAAACTCTATTCGACTAACGCAACTAATCAAACAAAACACGAAGAAGCCACTTAACATACGGTTTATCGCTAGTTCAAAAGAGTGTTGATTATGTTTTTGTGTTTTAACTAATTCTAGCCGTAATCCCATGGCGCATCGAATGTCATCATTTCTTATTCTCCTCTTCGTAGTGTGCTGATTCTACGAAATATGGTGGATTTGGAGGACTGTGACGACGAGCTGGAATCAGAAGTGCATAGTGAATGTTCTAATTACGGTCCGGTCGACCGAGTGATCGTCCATCAGCAAATCGATACAGAGACAAACACCGGATGTGTCAAGGTGTTCGTTCAATTCACCACTGCGGACGCCGTAGATCGAGCCATCCAGGCGCTCAATGGTCGATTCTTTGCCGGAAGGCAAATCACTGCTGAGGTGTACGATAATGAAGCATTCCTGATGAACGATTTTTCACTTTGATTTTGCTCAACCGACCCGCTGTAACACTGTACATAATTCTGAATGCTTGCTGTGTTTATGGATCACCGTAGGATACACCAAGTGCTAACTGTCTCGGATCGATCAGTTCACCCTCAATTTGCACGAATGCGTGTCCACCGTTTGGTGTGTTTTCCCTGTTCGTTTACTAATATATTATTTGTAAACATCGCTTTATCTTTTTGTAGGCCTAGCAGAATGAATTAGTCACCAGTAGAACTTTGAGAGTTGCTGAGGTCAAAACATGTGGTGATGGAGGCGCAGTGGTTTAATCGGTGTCATCGGCGTGATT